ATTTTCCCTTTGCCTTATGGCCTTGGCCTTCAGTCAAGGGTATTTGCCTCTGTTTCCCTCCCCCGGATTGAGGTTGGGTTTTTGCTTTATTCCATTCTTCGGCTCGGATGAACTTATCCGAAGCACTAAGAGCTTCCTCCAAGGTCTGCGGGGTATGCATGACCATGAAGTCTAGGAACTTTCCTGGCTGAAGGCCATTCTGCATTGCAAAAACAGCTAACCCCTGGTCCAGCTGGGAGACGCTTGATGACTCGTTACTGAAACGGGTCAGGTAGTCTCGGAGGCTTTCGGTTTCCCCCTGTTGCAGACTCATGAGCTCTGCGGTAGTCTTCTCTCGGCGGTTTGCCGTGGAAAACTTGCTCCTGAACTTGGAGGACAGATCATCCCAACCTGTTATGGAGCCTTGCCTTACTCCCTTGGAGATCCACGCTTGCGCGACCCCCTTGAGAGTGGTTGGGAAATATTTGCACCAAGTCGCCTCGGATCTGGGGCAAAGATGCATATGAGTCTCATACGAGGCCACATGGTCCTTCGGATCCGTGGTCCCGTCATATGTGATATGCGACGGTATTTTAACCGTGGGTACGCGCTCTTCCAGTATCCATTGCTCGAATGGTGAACTAGCGGGTAGCATAACGGCCTTGCCCTTGTTCCTGGCCGAAGGGACCGCGCTCCGCCCTCTTAGAGAGGTAGGAGTGGTTTTCGTCCCTGGCTGGGAAGTCTGGGCCTCGGCTGCAGGGAACGAGAGGCGACTACGCACGCTCGGTTCCTGGCCGCCGAGTCGGTCAAGGACGCTTCTGCGAACAGTCTCAGGTTCTCGGCGAGTAGATTCTGGCCGAGAAGCTGAGCTGCTGCTCTTATGCGCTTCTGGTCTTGAGGATGAGGATCCTTTAAATAATTGAGAGTTCTTTTTCCTCTGTTTTTCATTTTTCCAAGAATCCTCCTCCCACTCTTCCAGTTCCCGGAAGGAAGGAAGCTTCCCACCGTCATGGTCTAACTTCCTCCGCTGATGCCGAGTATGCGGAGGAGTTCGATCACGAGGCGGTGGCATATTCTGTGCCCTCATTGCCTCCATGAGTACTGCCAGCGCTCTTGCCACCTCTTCCGAACTGGGCCCCGTCAAAGGGGTCCTCGGCCGAGTGTGGGAATGAGGCCGCGCAGCCGATGGTTGGCTTTGGGACACTGAATATGTCCTATGATCAGACTGACCCCTGCTAGACCGAGAGTGGTCCGGCCTATATTGAGAGTCATGCATTACAGGAGATAGGGAATCCTCCTTGTATGATCCTCCCCCCGAGCCGGCACCCTTGGGAGAGTTCCGGTCCGGCGAGGGCGATGGTGTTGGGGTTTTAGGCTTTTCGCCCGCTCCTTGACGGAGGCTTTTGCTCTTGCGGTTCTTAGCCATGGCTGCTAAGATAATTGCAAGATGATCTTGGTTAGGAATTTGGCTTAAAGATTTTTGAAAGTCTTCCCCACAGACGGCGCCAAATTGTTTCGGGTGAAAACAATGGGACCTTGCCGAAGGTCCGCTGAAATGGAGAAGACTGGATTCGGTCCAAGTTGTGTTGGGCCGAAGGTTTCCTGCACAGTAAACACACGTAAACTAGCCTCGGGGGTGTTTCCGAGGAAGGCCCCTCCGATGCTAAAGTCAGTACAATGTGTAAAAGGAAGACACTATGCAAGAGAGTTTGTAGCTTGAGGCTTTTGTGGAATATATCTGAATGCAAGAATGAGCATATCCATTGGAATATGAATCCCCACGTCAATATATGAATGTGTCAATATGATGGCTTTTATACCTCATCATATATGGTGAGGTTGGGCCTTAGCCCAATTGGCATGCTTTGTGGGCTGACCTTTGACTTTTGTGCAATTGGAGAGTTGAACCTTGACCTTGGGCTTTTAATTGGATCATTTAGTGCTTAGGCCCAATTTTGACTAAATTGGACCCAAACAGTTAATATTACACGGGAGTCAACGTTCAAAAACTAATTTAATCAATTATTCAATATTTCATACCTGCAAATCTGGTGATTTCCGCTCACCAGTTTTGATTTATTTTCAATTGAATTTTGGGCCTTTGCGTTTGTCAAATAATTATTTTTTTAACAGAAATCACTTCCCCAGCAAATCATTGAATATACTAGTAGAGTATATATTCTAGCTCATTAATAGCATGTTTAATTTTAAAAAAAATCAATAACTCATACGAGCAGATTATATAGTCGGATATTCAATAATAACTCCATATTCTCATATGTCAATATCTTCTTAGTCGGTACTTCAATAACTCCACTAGTTCTCATCATATCTCAATATCTTCTACTCCCTCTGTCCCTAAATTACATTCCTCTTTCTAACATTTATTCCTCACATAATAGAGAGAAAGGGAAATGTAATTTAGGGAGTATATATTAAAATAATATATGTATTTGTACTAACGTATTTATTACGGAGTATCAAATTATATCTCAATAGTATGCTTCGTATTAATTAGTTTGTCGTATCTTGTAAGGGTCTAATTTTTATAGAGTACGTACTCAATTATCATATAAATAAGAGTACGTTGTACTTCAGAATTATAAGCCTATCACAAAAAGGAATACTACACCACTTTACTACTACTCCTCGCCATCCTCATCACCACCATCCAAATCTCGAAATATTGTTTGGTAAATCCAAACTACCTCCGGGGCCAAAACCATGGCCTATTATAGGCAACATTCTCAAGCTCGGCGACAAACCACATCGTGCTGTCACCGAGCTTGTAAAAATTTACGGTCCCATAATGTCTCTCAAGTTAGGGAGCAAAACTATAATAGTTATATCATCTCCTGAATTAGCCAAAGAAATGTTCCTTAACCATGACTTAGCCCTTTCTAGTAGGTATGTCCCAGAGGCCGAAAAGGCCGAAAACCACGAAAAATTTTCCATGGTTTGGCTTCCATCAGTAAGCCCCAAACGAAAAACCCTTAGAAAGATCGCGACTATCCAATTGTTCACCAATCGACAACTTAATATGAGTCAAGACATACGGCGAAAGAAGGTGAAAGAGCTAGTTGAGTATGTACAACAATGTTCCGAAAAGGGTCTGCCTGTTAATATTGGTAAGGCAGCGTTTACAACCTCGCTAAATTTGTTGTCCAACACATTTTTCTCGATCGATTTAGCTAGCCATGTTTCTTCAAATACTCAAGAGTTTAAGGATCTTATTTGGAATATATTGGTAGAGTGTGGAAGGGCTAATTTATCGGATTTATTCCCGTTACTTAAGAAGTTGGATTTGTAAGGAGCATTGAAGAGAACAAGGGGTTACTTCAAGAAGTTGCTTGCAATTTTTGAGGGAATTATTGATGAAAGATTGAAAGATCCAACAAATGTTAAGGATGATGTTCTAGGTACTCTACTTAAGCTTGTTCAGGATCAAGAATTGAGCGTTGACGACATTAGACATATGCTAGTGGTAAGTTCGTTTAATTAATTATCCTTCCAAATATATATTATTAAGTGTATTCTCATCTAGTAATTTAATTACTTGTGTGCCTAGGATTTGTTTATAGCGGGAACAGATACAACATCAAGTGCATTAGAATGGGCAATGACAGAATTATTACGCAACCCCGAAAAAATGAAAAAGGCTCAAATTGAATTGGACCAAGTGTTGGGCAAAGATGGATCAATCATGCAAGAATCTGATATCGCAAATTTACCGTACATTGATGCAATAGTGAAAGAAACAATGAGGTTACACCCAGGGGGACCATTTTTGATACCTCGCAAGGCAGAAGAGGATGTGTTGTTATGTGGTTATTTGATACCTAAACACTCAATTGTTTGGGTTAATATATGGTCTATTGGTCAAGATCCAAGTGTTTGGCCAAATCCAAACATGTTTTCTCCAGAAAGATTTTTAGAGAAAAATATTGATATCCTTTGGATCGGGAAGAAGGATGTGTCCAGCGATGCCACTGGCAAATAGGATGGTGCATTTAATGTTAGCCACTCTTATCCATTCATTCAATTGGGAAGCAGCAAGTCCAAAAGCTATTGACATTGAAGAAAAGTTTGGGCTTACATTGCAAAAAGTTGAGCCACTTCAAGCTATTCCACTTCCTAAGTGATTAATTAACTACCAAGGATCTTGAGGAGTTTAGCTCTTTCGAAATATAATGTAATAATACGGTGTAATCATTATCGTTGTTTGCTTCTCAGAGGTCGTACTTGAGCTAGGATAATTCAAACTATATATAGGAGACAAGGAGTAGCTTGTTATCAATACATCATCCATGAGCAAGTGGATCTTCCACGGGATATTCCCAAAATGTATAATTACTTCGTATTAAAAATTGTTTTTACAGTGTCCTTGATTATAGAGACACGTTAATCATGCATGTTAAATTTGTTTTCTTCTTGGATGAGGTAGAACAATTGAAAAACTATGTTGTGAGTGATAGTTATGTTACAGAGTATTGAAAAAAAATACTCCATAAAAATAAATAAAAACCTAGTGTGTTTAACTCCTTTAATTTCTAACTTCAATAATCATTACCCTTAGATTTTGCAATATTTTCATAATACAATCCATTGTCCTTTATAGGAAACGTATAATTGTCATATGTGCTCAATTTTAATTCATGGATCAATCAATTATGACAATTAATAACACTAATAATCAAGTCCCTATAAAAATAAACAAAAAATAACATAGTGAGTACAGTCTTCTCTCGATCACATGCCAATAATCAATCTGTCAGTCTTATTTATAGTCACTTATAAAAGAACAAAGTCACTCCTATAATACTAAATTACTCACTGACTAACCCTTTTAACTGTGACTAAGTAACCTCTCTATCAAACTAAAAAGGTAACCCACACTAACAAGGTAACCCTTACCAACCGCACATAAGAATATGTGACCCTTAATTAATACGGAGTAATAAAAAAGGATACTGTTATACATAGCCCTTAGGGCTACATATAAACATTAAAACACTCTTGAAAATTGTATAAATTTAGAAAATCATGAGAAAAACACACTAATTACACTGATATACGCTTGTTTTTGTCATGAATTCCTAATTTTATACAATTTTCAAAAATGTTTTTAATGCTTATATATAGTCTTAATGGCTATTTATAACATAACCCTAAAAAAAAAAATGCGAGTACAGTCATCTCCAAGTCACATGCGAAAGTGCAACAGTGGTCATCCCCTAGTCTCCCACGTTGTTTCCTTTCCCTTTCTTGCCAATTTCAAAATATACTGTCCTACTCTACATTCTACAACGACAAGCTTCACTCAAATTAATCTTAACCATCCACCTAAACCATACAATAACTAAATCAGCCGCCGGAGATAGACAAATGGCGGCAATAATGGCAGCGGTTATATATATAACCGCCGTGATTGGTGTAACATCCGCCGTAACTTACACCAATCACACGGTGGGAGGACCGCCGCCATCTGGTTGGTATTTTAATAGTAGTTCCAATATATCTTCTACTAATTATTCCTCTTGGGCTGCTTCTCAAACCTTCAACCTCGGCGATTACCTTAGTAAGTTCATCTCATATTCTCATCTCAAAAAATTTGCATTAATTTTATATCGTCCCAAAAAAAAATACAGTATTATTTAGAATCGTTAATTTTTTTTACTTATATTTCGCATGAATTAAATTAGAATAACATCCAAATACAATGTTGCTATGAATTAATTTAATTCAAATTGTAAATTACAGAGTCGAATTAATCTCAATTTGTCGTGAGTTTTTTTTAGGAAAGTTGCGTGTTTGAATTTAATTAGTAGATACTTTTCGGAATAAATGTGCGCTAATTACGGTTGTTTTATTTGGGAAAAGAAGTGGCTATTTGTATTGGGCTTAATGGCTCATAGTGAAGCAGTATCTATTTATGGCCCAAATGTCGGATGTCAGTTGTTTTCAGGGATGTCAATGGGGCGGGGCGGGGCGGATGTTGGCCTTCCCATCCCCATCCCCACCTAATATTTTCATCCCTATCCCCATCCCCATCCCCGCGGTGGGTCCAATTTTCATCCCCATCCCCGCCCCACCGGGTACAACTCCAAAATCCACCCCCGCCCCGTCACCCATAGCGGGTATGGTTTTTATCCCCATCCCCGCCCCATCACCCATGGCGGGTATGGTTTTTATCCCCATCCCCGCCCCACCACCCGCCAAACCGAGACCAGGAGACCCGCCCCACTGACATCCCTAGTTGTTTTATTTGGGAGAAGAAGTGGTTATTGTTTTTCAATTTTTCAAGTGTAGTAAACGTCATTTCTTAGGCCCCGTTCTATTTACCTTAATTTTGCTGAATTGAAATTATTTTTACTGAATTGAAATTATTTTTGCTGAACTTAAATTATTTTTACTAAATTGAAATTATTTTTGCTGAACAGAACTTATTTTTACTGATTTTCAATAATAATTCTTCTTTAAGAAAACTAATTTTTACTGAATTGAACTTATTTTTACTGAAATAAAATTATTTTTACTAAACTGAAATTATTTTTTTAAGGTGAAGAGAACAGAGCCTAAATACTACGGAGTACCTCCGTTAAATGTTATGTGCAACCCAAAATTATAAAGTTGCACATAACATCAAATTAGGAATATCATATGGTTCAAAATTTATATGGAGTAATATAACCTATTAAGTTGAAGTTTTGTCGTGATATGACCTTAATTTCTATGGAGTAATAACTTACTCCGTACAAAATAAGTTTAGATGACATATTTTCTAAGTCTACTCACTAATCAGTAATGATCACTGGTCCAAATATGCTGAAATTGGATTATAAGTTATAATTAATAATTTAAAAGAACTTCAAATAGCACACATCAATTAAGATTCATTATAGACTACAAAGTATTTAACTAATTGACATACCACAATATTGGGTATTCTATCTATAATTCTATGAAAATGTAGATGGATGGTTTTATAGGCTCGTTTAATTTTGAATTCTTCATATGCATAGTATATACTACATAATACTTGTCCTTTTTAAACTTTAAAGTACTCTATACTCATACAAACTGCAACTTTAGAATTGAATCAATGTATTATTAGACCATCTCCAATGGTGAGACTCAAATTTAACTATTGAAATACAATATGAGTTGTATTTTACCTTCACTGGTGATACCATACTCACTTCTCAATTTAGCAACTCATATGAAATTTAAATTCTCAATGGTAAGACTCTAAAATCTACAAATGTCACTTTTAATTTATGACCCATCAATTATTATAAGATTAAAAATATAATAAAAAGGGTAAAACTTAATAAATAAATTACATAATATATTATAATATTGACAAAGACCCACACTTTTTGTCAAATGGAACTCAAAGTTGAGTATCTAAACTTAGCAACTTCCATTTGAAGTTGCTAAGTTTAGATACCAATTTATGGTATACATTGCAAAAAATATTCTCTCTCCTAAAAATACTTATTTGAGTCTCACAATTGGAGATGGTCTTAGGTGTTTTGAAATAAAACCTACCCGATCTTTCATTTTCATGCATTAATAATAAATTGACAAGTTCTTTAATAAGAATGCAACATGTGTTTTGTAGTTTGTCATGAAATATGGTACGTCTTGATAAATTGACAATTACACTGAGTAGTAAATAACCAAAATAAAAAGATGTCAAATTTCAAAATAAGTACAAATACTACGTAATAATGGTCTTGATAAAAAAAAATTAAAATTAAAATTTGAAAAAAAATACTTCCTATATTTTACCCGGGAAAATTTACCATTACCATCTTTTCAATATGCATATCACTAACTAACTTTCCCACTCTTTCTTTTTCTTGGCAGTTTTTAATACCAATACTAATCAAACAGTGATCCAAACATACAATTCCAATACTTACAACAACTGTACCTCCGATGACTCCTCCGACAACAACACACTTGTCTTCAACTCGGGTGCCACCAAGTTTGGTCAGCCATTGACCATCTCCGTTCCATTGACAAAAGTGGGCCCCAACTACTTCTTTTCTGATGCCGAGGATGGGGTCCAATGCCAACGCGGCATGAGGTTTGACATTAAGGTTGGCCAAGGGTTGGGCCTTCCCCCAAGCCTTAATCAACCTCCACCTCCACTGTACTCTGCCCCGCCAATGGCGGAGCCTCCCCCGGCTTTTCAAGGGAGTGGAGGTGGTCAAGGAGAAAGCATGTACAATGGAGTAGAAGGGCTAACTGATGGAATATTTGGAGTTGCTGTGATTTGGGCTGGTCTTATTGTTTTGGGCTTGGGCTTTGTTTTTTAATCGTTGAAGCAAGCCCATAATTGGAGGTCAATTTTGAAGGGTAGTTTCGTAAAAGTATTTTTTGGATTTAATGTCGGTAAGGAGTTAAGGACTAAAGAGCCGTGAAATAATTGTTGGCGGGAGACACATGTATACTTTAAATTATTTTTCTTTTGATGTGATAATGTAATACCTCTTTGGATTAAACTACGAGTTGATTAGTTGAATAGTTTAAGCATCTATACAACGTCGGATCTAGAGATAATTCTATGTAATAATTCAATGAAATATATATTTGGTTTGGTTTTTTTTTTTTTTTTTTTTTTTTTAAAAAAAAAAGTGTAGACGAAATATATGCTTTGCATTTGAACTACTCGTATATGAATTTTTCAATACTTAAATATGTAACCTATAGTTTTATAATAGGTATACGTAGTATATATTTTTCATTTAGGTCATTACGGGTACTAACAGCCAATGTACTACATAATATCAATTGTTTTATTTTAACAAAGTCGATTAAGCATATACTCATACATGCGTATGAAATGTGTACCCTAGAAGTAGAATGATTTGCATGTAAGTTGATCATAAATTAGGTCAATCTGGTACATATTTATTATAATAAAATAAGAAAATTAGACACCATGAATATGATCGTATATAAGAGAAATACGAAGGGTCTGTTCTCTTATGTTGAAATTCAGTTCAATTCAGTTCAGTTCCTAATTTCCTTCTCTTATAAAATATTCAATTTAGTACAGCTTAGTTCAACTCAGTTCAGTTCAGCTCAGCTCTGCTCAATTTAGTTCAGTTCAACTGAGTTCAGTCAATGAGAATAGGCCCGAAATATGTATTTTTTTTTAATGAAAAAATCTAACTAGTTTATATTAGATCGATCCCAAATTTATTTAAAGTAAATCTATTGTAGGGCTAAGTCACACACTGCATACATAAAGTCAATTGACTTAACCCTTCTTGATATGCATCAAATGATAAAATGTACACAAAATGATAAATAGATCAAACCAAACCAAACCCAACTTAAAATAAACACAACTCAAGTGAAGCTCACATTTAAAAGAAATCAAACCCTATTTGAAAAAAAAAAATTAGTCCATATCAAATAACATGAACCTACCCATTTAGAGATAACACACATTTATGTAATAACCATTTCAAGCAAAAGAAATACAAAAATTTTCACATGTTGCTAGGGTTACGTAGTCATAAGTTACTCGGTCGGTCAGGGGTTACCCGATCAATTATAATGTGGACGAGGTTACTCGATTGATTAGAAATTGTCTAGTCAATATTTTAGTGTATGTCAGCTTGTCATACGGTATAGCTAGCCAAACCAAAAAAATGCTAAACGGGAAAAAAAAAAGATTTTAAGACACTATACAAGAGAATTCAAATATTTTTTTGTAGGATAAAATAAAAAAAAAAAAAAAAAAAAAAAAGTGACAGTTTTATTTTTTTGTTTTTTATTACAGAAAACAATTCCCAAACAGCGGGTGTTCATTTCCTGCAGGTTGACGCTACGCCACGATTTTGTCTTAAGAGGGTGATAACATTTTTAATGGCAATCACAAACTCCAACTTCATCGTTTAAGCGGGTTGATTACTGTTTTGTAATTATCAACTAATTAAATTCACTACCTTTTTCAATCTCAAGTTTTTCAGATAATCTGAGGTCCACTTTGATAACGAAATCATCCCATAAATCTCATCAACTTCTGTCTTCTTCCAATTATATTAATTCCCAGTAATTACTCTTAAAACCCTCTCATTTATTACACCGTTTCAGTTACCCTTTTTGATCCGTTTTTTGATTTTTTCTTAATTACTCCTTATTAATCTCTCATTTTGTAATTGTTGATTCCCCTTTTTTTTTATTCCTCGAGATTTTTTTGTTTTTTTCTCATCTGGGTATTTTTTAATTGGGTTTGATGTGATTTTTTGGTTGAATTTTTGTTTAATTTGTTGTTTGTTTCTTGATTTTTTTTCTGGGTTTTTGTTTTTCTGAATTTGCAGGGAAAATTATAGGTGGGAAAAATGGGTTTAATTTCGGGGATGATGTTGGGTGTAATAGTTGGGATCGGATTGATGGCTGGTTGGCATCGGATGATGCAGCATCGAAGCAATAAACGAATTGCCAAGGTTTAATTTCATCTCCTTGACTAATTTATCTCTCCTTTTTTTTAGGTTTTTGGTTTTTTGAAATTTACTGTATATTTTTGTTGATTGTTGATTTTTGGCTGAACATTTAGCCTTCTATTTTTTCTGGGTTTTGTTTAGTTTCTTTCTAATTTGAGGTTTTTCCAATATGGTAATTTGATTATTGTGAAACGAATTGTGGGATTAGGATAAAAATGTTTCTTGTGCTGCATACCAAAAGTTAAAATTTGCACACTTATTTTGAGCATAGCTAGGTTTATGACTTGGATAAAATAATTTGTGAAGTACTAAATTTGTTCTGTGTATTGGGGTTAGAGAGGTAGTCCGTGCTTTGATGAAAGAGGGCTGCATTGTAGGTTCAGAGGATTAGTTGATTATGTTTATGGTGTAGTTGACAGCTGAGTAGTGAATAGTGGGACTCTCTTTAGTGAAAGGAATTTGCTATCATGTCAATTTTTTGTTAGTCATACTACGTGAAATGTTGATTGTCAATTCTAGGTAGGTATAGGTTTTGACAAATTAAAGGCAGAAACTGCGATTGTCTAGACTTACCAAACCTTGCCTTGGCAGGAAATTTATGGGTTTCTGTTGTGATTGTTGTTTTATGAAATGAGAGCATCTTGGACTCGTGGTTTTTAAACCACATTTCACCTCTCTAGTGATTGCTAAGGTTGCATGATAAATTCCTCTACCCTTAATAGCTTGCTGGAAACCCTTTATAAAAATTGACTGATGAGTCAGAATATTTGCTTTACTTATGGTTTAGTTATGAACTTATACCTGGATCTGTTTATTACACCTATATGGTATAAACTATATATATTTACTGGGAACTTTGACATGATTCTGTCTCTTGGCGTTATTTACTTGTGTTAGTTTCTTAGTGGAACTGTTTTTGACTGTTGATGCTCCTTGATTAGAATTATACTTAGATGTTGTTCAGGTTCTTAAATTTTTGGCTGTCAGGATTTTGGCATTGTCTATTTGTGTAATTCTGTGTTTGCTTCCATTGTCATGCAGGCAGCTGATATTAAGGTTCTTGCCTCCCTTGGTAGAGAAGAGTTGAAGAAAATTTGTGGTGAAAGTTTTCCGGAGTGGATATCTTTTCCTGTTTTTGAGCAGGTTCTTACTTTGATAATCTTCTTTCGTCTCCTTTTACTCTTAAACATAGATGCAAGTTTTCATTTTTTTTTCTTATGCTCCTATATGTTATTGCTTTCAATCTCTGACTCTTATCGACATAGTGTAGAAAGATCAAAATGCAAATTTAAGAAGATAGAAATTTTATACATTGATTATGATTTACGTTGAAGAGATGTCACAAAAACTTCTATGGTTGAAAGCAGGCTGACTTAGTATCTTGATGTTTTCTGATGTTTTTTCAGGTGAAATGGTTGAACAAGCAGTTGAACAAACTGTGGCCATATATAGCCGATGTAAGTTCTTTCACTTTTTTCATGCATCGTAATTGATGATGAATGAAAGCCTTTGTTCTTTTCCTACATTCATTTTTCTATATCTGGGTTAGGGGGAGGAGAGTATGGTTTGTGAATGATTAGCTTACAGTTATTTGGATGATTTTTGATAAATTTGATTCTCGCGAATCTAAAGGATTTTCACGAGGAATTCTTTTCCGTCCATGCATTGAAGCATTGACCAAGCAGTTGAGTGATAATATTACACACTATGCATGTACTAATGTTTTGTCAAATCAAGAGATGTCGCTCCTAGCAATTGCAGGCCAACAATTTATGCTATATACAATTAAGCTCTAGTCCCATCCATCGGTTTGAATCTTGTATGATAGATTGATAGGATGACGTTAGTGTGAACTCTGTAAATTTGGAATGAGTTCTTCATTATAATCACAGCTCTAAGTATAAAGCAGAAGTGGTATTTTTTTAGATATTGGGCTATTGCTGATCACTGTGTTAGGATTCTTAGGAGCTTTTTATCACTTGGATTTCTGTACTCTTTGCAATTGTGTACTGAACTTCGATAAGCTCTGAAAAAGAATTTTGATATTCTGGTGTTTGTGCCCAGAATTTAGAAGGAGAGAGTCAGCTTTTCCTTTTTACAACCTGAAGTCTTTCCTCTTCTTCTTTTTATTTTTTTCCTTTTTATGTGTTTATTTTTTTTTTTAAATAGTTGCGTTTCTAAATTATTCTCAGGCAGCAGAGCTGATAATAAGGGAGTCTGTCGAACCACTTCTGGAAGAATATCGTCCTCCTGGAATTACTTCAATGAAGTTCACTAAACTCACTCTTGGTACTGTTGCCCCTAAAATAGAAGGTATGTTTTTGTTCATTCATCTGATCCTTTAATTTGGAGGGACTTTGTGATATGTTACTTCTTAAGATAATTTTATTCCAGTTCTAATCATGCATGACACATATTGTTGCTGTTGTTGGTGCTAATTGAATTTAAGACATAACTAATGTGTAAAATTGTATATAGCTAGTATGTTGAAATGTCAGAATAATTTTAAATGATTTGTCCAAGATTGCTTCCTCATGGATGACTTATGCAGTCATATGGAAGCAATTTGCTGATTTCTGTAGTATAGAAGTTTGTTCTATCTCTGTACGCTTGTTATCCTGTCAGTTCCACGATTCCATTGATAGCAATTGAAGGAAATGATTAATTGATAGTGATGGTAATGTTGTTAGGGAGCTCTTTTGGGCTTTATGTACCCACTTCTTGAGTCCTGGACAAGTGTGCCTCCGCCTTTGTCTAGTCTGGTGTAGTTAAGCTGCTTCATTTTTATTATTTTGAATACGCTTACATGCATTTGCTCAACCACTGCAGGTATACGTGTCCAGAGCTTCCAGAAGAGTCAAATAGTCATGGATATTGACCTACGATGGGGTGGTGACCCCAACATCATTATAGGTGTTGAAGCTGCACTTGTTGCTTCTATTCCTATTCAGGTCAGTTGCTGCCTTTTTTGAATGATTACTTCCTTACTCCCCATCATCTATATTCCTCTCCTGGTTCATAAAGTTTATTGCATTCCTTGCTCATCTACATTCCCAAATGTTGTCTCATTTGGCCATCACTTGTTTCTGGTTGCAGTTCAAAGATCTTCAAGTTTTTACGGTTGTCCGTGTCATTTTCCAACTGGCCGAAGAGATTCCTTGCATTTCTGCTGTTGTTGTTGC